TAAATTTTGATAGTCTTTATGGTAAGAAATAAAAATTATTCTATAATTATAATTAAATTAAAATTTGTGATATTTACCATTATAAATTGTTGTATCATATCACACCAACAAAATTTCGTATCAAAATTTCGTATCAATACAAAACCAAACCAAGCAAATTTTGTGTCATTAATTTGTGTCAGTTTTATTAGGTCATCAATGGTTGGGTAATTCTTAGCCTAATTTTTATAACCCATGTTTAAATATATGTTTGTGATTATTGATTAAATTGTGTTTATATGAATACTTAATGATTATATGTTTATGTTTTGTTTACTGAATTTTGTTTTTACATGCAGATCTAATTTAATCAGAGAATTAAATTAGAGCAAAAATCTTTAGAATATCAAAGTACGAATTTCTCGCTTGATAATCTTATTGGATGAGAAGGTATTATATCTTTATAAATCGTTTACATTTATTAAATCTTTTAATGAACCTTTTAGTTTTTATCAATTAATTTTATGATTAAAACAAATTTTTTGTGATTTAGGTAGCTTAATTAAGTCATAAAATTAACTTAATTTTTTATTTTTAATTACAAGGTGATTACGTTCCATCAATTAAAGTCAAATTTATTCTACAATTTTTTTCAAAATTTATTATTATAATTTTATATTTATTTTTGATTTTGTTCTACGAATAATGATTTAGGATTTAAATTATTTTAAAAATAAAAAATTATTATCTTTTTCACATTAAAGATTTTATCCTAATATGTAATCAATGAAATATCATATTTTACATTTTTTTTAAAGATATCATATTATTGTCATATAACCAAAAACAACGAATAAAATACCAAACAACAATAAATTAAGTGGCATTATAAATTACATTAAAAAAAATTACTTTTTTTATTGGCAATATCATTTTAATTAAATTATTATTTGTTTTTTTTTTGTCTTAAATATTAAATTGTAAAATAAATCAAATAATTATAAAAAAAATAAATAAATAATAAAAAATAAAAAATTAGAGTATATAGGAAAATATCTTTTTTTGAGATATATGTATGACAATTCATGCATCGCACGATATTATTTCAACCAATTAAAAGTTAGATTTGTATTTTATTTTAGAATTAAAAAATTCACTCGCCACATAAGCAAAGTGACGAATGAAATTTAAAATTTTTGCCACGTAGGTAAAAATAACGAATAATGATTTACTATTTAAATTATTTTAAAACTAAAATTATCTTTTTTAAAAGATGATCTTTTGATATTAGGATTTAAATTAAAAAAAAAAACTATAAATTATACAATTATTATATACAAAAACTTTAAAATTAAATATTTGAAAAGGAAAATATATGTTCATTTTGTTTTAAGAAAACGTTCAATCAATTTTTTATTTAAAAAAAATTTAAAAAAATATAAATTATTAATAATTAACTAATATTCTTCAATTTTTTTCAAAAAAATCAATATTCTTCAAAAAAAAATAAATAACAATAACGTTCAGTCTTTATCAATATTCTTCAAAAAAAAAAAAAAAAAAAAAAAAAAAAAAAAACAATAATGTTCAAATTTTATCTTATCTAGTAACCTATTTCATGATTAGATAAAATTTTTATAAGAGATTTATTTGTTACTCCACAAATATATAAGATAGGATGATATTAAAGATTTGTATACATCCTCTTAAAAATATAATTTTGATTTTTTTTCAATTGTAAATAGACAATATATATATATAATAACAAAAAACACAAACATGTGAATATTATTTATCTACAATTTTTCATGGTGTGAATTTTTTTCAAGTCTAATTCGTTGATTAACAAAAAATATTGGAAATAATGTAAGTATATCAAGGCTTTCTGATGGTAAACAAAATAAATTGATTGTTATTCATTATTTTATAAGATGTATGTTTTGTTTTATTTTACCTAATCTAATTATGTAACTTATCGTATTAAATTTTGTTAAACAACTTAATTGTAACTTAATATTAATTCTGTATTTGAAGGGATTATGTCCATGCGCCAATTGAAAGAAATTATTGGAAAAGTAAGGATCTGTTCTCTTCAGCTTATTTTCAGTTCAGTTCAGTTCAATTCCTAATTTCCTTCTCTCATAAAATATTCAGTTAACTTCAGCTTCAATCAGTTCAGTTCACCTCAGCTCAGTTCAGTAAATCAGAACAGACCCTAAGTCAACTATAATGTTACAATAGTAGGGAAAAAAAATTAAAGACTGTAAGAGATGTCTTTGATAATTTTTATTTTTTGTGTATTATAGTTTCTGGTAGAATATCTATATTATTATTGTAAAAATCGTTGTAGTAGTGTATACATATAACTCTATTATTAAGACATATGATAATGAAATTTCATTATAAAGATTTAATTTTATTCAATTAGATTAATTTTAGTAATGCAACACTCTTGGTAGTATATATATATTTCATTTAACTATTTAAAAATTTATAAAGTCATATCTTTTACTATTACTCCCACCGTCTTTATTTTAACCATATAGGTTTGGGTTTACTCTATTAATTTTTCATTGTATAAAGTTGATACAGAGTAAAAGAATAATGGTGATCTAAGTTATTGTTTGTGAAAGAAAAATAGTAATTCTATAACTATATATGTATAGTGGAACAACGTGTTTTCGTTATACAAACGAATCATAGGTTAAAAAAATACGAACAGGAATATGATTTTATTCTAATATCTATCATAATTATATTTTTCATATAACTAATATTAGTAAATTAAGGTTGCATTATAAGTTGCATAAAAATAAAACAAATTATCCGTTTTCTAACAAGCAAAATAATAAAACAATTATAGGGTTAAATTAAGTAAAAAATCTTTTTCATGAGATTTATGTATAAAAAACCGTGCATCGCACGGGCTTCCCATCTAGTGAATAATGATTTAGGATTTAAATTATCAAAAATTTATCGTTTCACATTAAAGATTTTATATAAGGGAAAAATTATCATATTTACAATTTATTTATATTTAATAGATTCATTATAAATTATAGTAAAAAAAAGTATATTAAACTTTTGTAATTTTGTCTGAAATTATTAAATACAATAAATCAAATAATTAAAAATCTTAGATGAAAAAATCGTGCATCGCACGGGCTTCCATCTAGTTAATTATAATTATGGATATAAATAGATAATATTTGTAGATATCATAAAGATATTCTCATACAATTATATCCTAAAACTAGAAGGAAAATATTTTACTGATATTCTCTATAAAAAAAAACAAATATATGAAAAATTATTGTTAACCTAAGTTTTTTTTTTTTTGTCACCTCATACAGTCATACCTCACTATCACTATAAAAAAAAAATTACAAGCACACTATAACTATCTCCTCCTTCCCTATTTACTTGAGTTTTGGTAACAATTAGGGACTAAACTTTTTTACTTTTCACCATTTGGACCTGAACTTTTAATCTTTCACCTTTTGGGACTTGTGATTAATATTCACATTGGTGTTACAAATTTCTAATCCAATTTAAATGTCATAGTTGAAAATTAATATATGGCAAAATAGATCAAGCAAAAAATCAATTATAATGGAACTACATGAAATTAAATGATTTAAAAATGCATGAAAATTAAAAATTACACATATTGCATTAAAATAGTCGTAAATGTAATCCTCATAATTACGGCGATCCTCTTCAACAATGATCTGCTCCACTTTTCGGCTACAAACTTCTCGGAAACATGCGTCTGCAAAGTCACATAAGGCTGAATTGATTTGCAGACGAGAGAGTATAAGGGTGAGGATATCATCTGGAAGTGAACTCAACCGGTCTTCCTCAATGCAGCAGTGCAGAGTTGAATAGGTTTATCAAATCCCTCTTACTTCTCTGCCTTGTTACTTGTCAATTCTCCTAAATCTCTATTTGAGTGATGACCTAGTTTTAATACTTGAGATAAATAAAGAATTATTCAAGACTTTCCAATGTAGCTGCTACCGTGTTTGCGTGTAAAATAAAAATTTACATCTTTGATTTTGATACTTAGAACTAAGTTTCCATAAATAACTAAAAAAATGTCAAATTTATTAAAGAAGTGTGCAACAAACTAATTAATATGCTACGTATTATTATCATTATTATTTTTTAAAATAAAACCCAAACATGCTACGTATAAATTTCAAATTATATTTATTTTTAGAATAAAATTTTAAGGCTACCAAAGATAATTCATATACGAAGTGGCTACCAATAGAAATATGCAAAAGTACAAGCTGAGGCTACCAATGAGAACTTTCCTTTTTTTTTACTGGTTGGAACTATTGGAGGCAACACATGTCATAGTTGGGATTATTGGAGATTATTAGAGGTAAATCGCCCATAATTGAAATTATTAAAATATATATTTCCTAAATAACATTGGTAGATTAAATTAGTATCAACGCACGCAAAAGCACAAAATTTTTAAAATCTAGTAACCTAGAAAAGAATATTGAATTTATTTATGGTCTAAATTGTGTCATACAGTTTCCACAAAAAAAAAAATTGTGTCATACGGCAAAACTCCAATATTTGCACACATATTTTTTTATTTTTTTTTTGAATTGATTAAAATTAAAAATATAATCATCAGATTCATCACTTGTAATCGTAGCTCTAGAGATAAATAAGTTTAAATTTTTTATTTTTTATCTTATCAATCTATAATGTACACAGTAAATTTCAATAGTAAAATATTTAAAAAGATAAAAAAAATGACATATGATTAGAATCTTATGAAAATTTATCAAATCATCTTAACTAAAAACAATATTATCCATAATTTTCAAAAAAAAATTGTGTTTGTATGCTTTTGGAACTAGTATATCATATCCAACATCTATAAATTAAAGATTCTTTCACCAAAATTTCACATATTTTTTCTCTACAGTCGCACCAAAATTTTACGTATTCCTTTTCTTAATAATTATACAGTCGCTTTTTGTTACATAATAAAAATTATGAAGATCATAATTGTAACATTGTCAATAATTTTAGTGATCGTCAACCTAAATATTGTTAGCGCAACTTACAACTATTATGATGTAGTAACCCTTGGAGCAAAAGCCAATTCAAATTCGGACTCTTCTAAGGCGTTGGAGGCGGCTTGGAGTACAGCTTGTAACTCATCGGGCGAGTCGACAATTCATATGCCGGAAGGAGAATTCTTTGTTAGAAAATCCCTCAAGTTTTCTGGAAAGGGATGTCAAAGTAGTAAGATTAATTTTGTTATCAACGGAACCCTTAAAGCCCCTAGTGATTTTCGGGTGCTTCAAAACTCAAAAACATGGGTGTTATTTGAGCATGTCGATGGTGTTACTCTTTCTGGTGGAGTGTTTGACGCTGCAGGAGCTGAGTTATGGAATTGTAAACGATCTGGAAATGGAGCATGTCCTCGTGGTGTGGAAGTAAGTTATTTATTTTCTCTGTGTAAACTTGGATATGCTAGTATGATAAAAGTAATGCTCTAATATATAGTTTAACTAGTACCTATTTTTTGTTATGTTATTTGATCTCAGTCGTAAAGTTATTGTGTGACGCATGTATTTAAATTAAAAAGTTAGTTTTAAAATTTTAAAAGAATAATATATTAATCTATTTAATTAGTTTTATTTAATCTTTAACCTTCTAGCATTAGGATTTGTGGTTGTTATTCCGATATATAATCCTATAGTATTTTATTGTGTTAATGTTATTAACTTATTATATTTTATTGTGTTAATGTAATTCTTAGTTTTGTTTTTAATATATAGTTATTGATGCTTAAAAATATTAAATTAATAATTTTTATTAATCCATATAATATATTATTGATTTTTTTATATTAAAATAAGTAACAATTTTTTTAAAATTGCAGAGTTTAGGTTTTCTAAATTCCCAAAACATTGAAATAAATGGTATAACCTCATTAGATAGTCAATTGTACCATATTGTTATTGATGATTGTCGAAACGTAAAAGTGAACGGAGTTACGATTTCCGCCTCGGGTCATAGTCCTAACACCGATGGTATTCATGTACAATCGTCAACTGATGTTACAATATCGAGTTCGAACATTGCTACGGGAGATGATTGTATCTCAATTGGCCCGGGAACTAAAAATTTGTGGATTCAAGATATTACATGTGGTCCCGGTCATGGCATAAGTATTGGGAGTTTAGGAAAAACTTTTCACGAGGCAAAAGTGCACAATGTCACTGTACAAACGTCGACCTTCACTAATACGGAGAATGGAGTGAGAATTAAGTCATGGGGGAGACCAAGTGATGGATTAGTTAGTAATGTTGTCTTTCAACATCTTACGATGGAGAATGCTCGAAATCCAATTATTATTGACCAAAAATATTGCCCCAATCATAAGAATTGTCCTGGAGAGGTATATAAACTATATTTTTAAATTCGAGATCTTATTTCAATTTTTTTTTTAAAAAAAAAAATTAACGATTTTTCTTATTTTTGTGAATAGGTTTCTGGGGTAAGAATAAGTGACGTGACATATGACGATATCCATGGATCATCAGCAACATCGATTGCTGTGAAATTTGATTGTAGCCCAAAACATCGTTGTTCGGGCATAAAGTTGAAGAATATAAATTTGACTTACAAGAACAAGCAAGCTTCTTCTTTCTGTAGTAATTGTGAGGGTTCAACTTTTGGGGATGTTCAACCTAATAGTTGTTTAGAGTGATTTTTATCTACACTTTAGAATACAAAATTGAAAATCTTAAATTTTTTTTTTTTTTTTTTTGTTCCTGTGTTTTTTTCCAAGTATATACAACAGTAAAGTTAAATACAAAGTACATTGATTTACTCCTCTAATTTGTAGGAGCTCTTAACTTATCCAAACTTTGGTGGAATACTTTTTCATACTACATTATTTGTAAGAGCTCTAAGTGGAATACTTTTTCACACTAAATCTTACTACATATAGATACACCTAACATGTGTTTTTAGTGTCGGTTCATTACTCCAATATTCTAATTACATTTAATCTTATCTACGTACTCTAATTTTTTCTACAAGATTTTTCTATTTTGATCTAGACAATTGTCTGTACTTATTTTTCTAGATTACCATATTATACGGTGAGACGGTTAATTTGAGGTAACTTTAACAATTTTTATGGTAACTTTAATGTCTTTAACTTTAAGTATGTAATGAGTTTAATTGTATTTAAATGTATAATTTCTTATTGATACATATTGTTAAGACTTATGATTAATCTAATATAGTACATTATAAAGGCTTTTTAAGGGTAAAATATAAGTTAAGAAAATGGTAAGTTTTGTAATATAAAAGTGTAATTTTTAGGGTAATTTTAACATATATATATATATATATATATATATATGAGGGGAAGCGAGCAAATTACTCATTAATCAAAAGAGCATCCATCAGTACATAAGGAGAAATACTAGGGATAGTACATTAATTTTAACTCATTTTACAGTAACTATTTTTTTTTTTTTTTTATGAGACCTTAATCAAAAAATTGTAGGAAAAATAGGTGGGTGGGTGTATGTGAGACAACAATGGTATTTAGAGAGTTTTTTTTTTTTTTTTTTAATAGAGATATTCAAGAGATAATGCAAAGAGATAAAATCTCGATCTTAAGAAGAAAACGAGGTCCCGTCAAAAAAAAAAAAAAAAAAAAAAAAAAACGAGGCAATTAGAATTATATCGAAGGTACATTACTAATCAGCACCGGTAATAATTTTTGTCCATAAATGCTCATTTTCTAGGCTTAATTTACCAATGTATTTGTGTATGCATGACATATATAATAATTATAAGAATAGAAATAAATTAACATAAGTTATATCACCATAAAACTTGGGCAACAAAAAAATAAAAAAAAAAAAAAAAATACAATTACTATTCATTACAGTAAATAAAAATAATAAATTGTTGGCATTAATGTTTAAATCCATGATGGGTATTATACTCTAACTTCAACACCTACTCTAATGAGTAATAACACATCTCATGTCTAAAATGTTTTGTTAAACAAAGTTAAACATATTCATAAACTTGAAGATTTAATGTTTAATTTTATAATCTAGTATTTTATATAAATAAAGTAGGCATTTTTGGAGAGCATTCGGAGCGCCACGTAAGAAATATACTTATTTCGACCAATAAGAAGAAAGGTTTGTATTTTATTTTTGAATTAAAATATTATGTCGCTACCTAGATAAAAGTAACGAATTAGATTTGATATATCTAAAATTTTAATGTCACGTAGATTATAATCCACGAATTAAATTATTTTAATGAAAAAATAAAGTAAAAATATAGGAAAAGATAAATTTATTAATCCAATACTACGAGTATAAGAAATCAAAAAAAAATATACTAAAAAATATTTAAATGATAAACGCTTATAATAAAGTTTGATACCTATCATTATAAAATAAATTTTGATAGTATTTACGATAAGAAATACAAATTGTTCGTTAATAACCCCATCATCGAATTTTGTGTTAGTAATTTTGTGTTAATTTTTAGCTTAATTTTTAAAATCCTATGTTTAAATTAGTATTTCTAATTATTACTTACATTGTATTAATTTGGGATACTCAACTATTATAGGTTTATGTTTTATTTACTAAATGTTTTTTTTACATGCAGATCTAACACATCATATGACACAAATAAAATTTCGTATCAATACAAAACCCCATCAAGCGAATTTTGTGTTAGTAAGGTCATCAATATCCGAGTAATTTTTAAAATCTTATGTTTAAATTTATATTTGTAATTATTAGTTATATTGTATTTATTTAGCATACTTAACGATTATTTGTTTATGTAATGGCATACAATTAGATGTTGTGTACTTAATATATGGATGGCTTTGGTTATTTTTGGAGATGATGAAAAAATTCCAATGCATAGATTTGATTTTATTCGCAACACGGTTTAATTTATCCATTGATGTAGTAGGTTGGTGATTCTATCGAAATAAAAGACATGGTAAAACAATGAATAATGATTTTGGATTTAAATTATTAAAAATTTATCATTTCACATTAACGATTATTTTATATAACGGAAAAAATATCATATTTACAATTTATTTATATTTAATAAATTCATTATAAATTATAGTAAAAAAAATATTAAACTTTTGTAATTCTATTTGAAATTATTAAATACAATAAATCAAATAATTAAAAATCTTAGATGAAAAAACCGTGCATCGCACAGGCTTCCATCTAGTAGGATAAAAAAAAAAAGGAGACTAGCTCCCAACTGACTCAAGACTACAAATAAAACAAGGAGAGGGTTTAGCTCTCTTAACCATACTAACACAAGAACCATAATAGGGAATGGGGGTACAACATTCATGACTTGCTATGGGATACAAATGGGGATTGACACGTTCCGCCGTATACGCTAGCCATAAGATGATCAGAGTTTGTTCCTTTTCGCTTCTCGGACCTGCAAAAACAATACCTGGAATAACGATTACCTTTCTTGTTCTTCTTCCTTGACATGTACGACCTACCATGCTTCCTCGTCGTGGTAGAAAACTTAAAGGTAGTGGATGTTGGGATGAAATGCTCCTGGTCGAGTTCAAAGTCATGGGGTCATCTTCATTGGATCCAACATATTCCACTTCAACAAGGTCAGCGGTAGGATAGTCTCTCGCTGGATCTTCACTCCCATTATTCTCAATGATTGAACCTTCATTGTTGTTATCAATTAATTTTGAAGACATAGACTCATCTAACTTCTCAATAACAGTAGTGTAGGGTTTTTCAGACGCCACAACAGGGTTGACCACTTTTGGACCAAGAGGGGGCATGACCTTTTCTTTTTGGACTTTTTGTCAAGTCTCCTCCTACTCGAACTCATCTTCTTAATAGGCATGGACAAGGAATTTGGGCCTCTGGAATCCATATCCTTGTAAATTTCTGAATGCCTATCTTGAGTAGTCTTTTCCTTATTCCTATAGTCATCCACGAATCAGCAGATTGATTGAAGAAACTCAAAATCCTCCCTTGCTTGAGATTCATATAGGTTAAGGAGGAGATCTTAAGGGACTTGTTTCTTTTCATTCCATTAGAGAAGCAATGGATTTTTCCAGGTTCCATGCCTTGTCTTGATTCCTGATCGTTTAAGGGGTAGGTTGAACCAACTTCTTTATTTTCCAAAGGAGCATCTCATTGTGGGTAAGGATGGAGCTCTCTACCTCCATCTCACTATCATGGCATGTAGGAGACAGGCTAGTAACATTACTCCTCTGGTCATTGCTTCGAGAAGTTAGGCCTTGCACTAGGCTAATAGTTGACTCACTGATTTTCCCCTTTTTGTTGTAGTTATACTGAGTCATGGTAGAATTTTCAGCACCCCTCTTACCAAAGGTCTTGCTTGCCTCACAACTTAGGTCCTTCACTTTCTCCAGTTCACGAAGGATATCCTGATTATTAGGCTCTGACCTGGATGCCTTGCCAAGGTCCTCATAAGCCTCTTTCAGTTAATTAAGCTTGATTTCTGCTAAAGCCCTTCTGTAAAGAGGTTTAGCATTGCTACTATCAAACTCGATGACCAAGGGGCAAAGTTCCTTAGATTGTTCATAATCATGAACCTTTAAGGCACAAGCTGCGAGATTCAATTCCAAAGCAATAGCAAGACTCCATAGCAAATCACAATCCTCCTCATTCCTTGGTAAACCAAAGCACAAAAATTTCAACCCTTTATCATACTTAGCCCAAGCACAAATAAACTCACCACATTTATAGTACAAGTAACCCTCGTCCTTCAAACTCTTGGCTTGATTAAATATATTTCGAGGGAAGTTATTTGTAGCAAAGTTCACAATACTTTCATCATAGTCGTCATTCAAGTGAGTAACCATAAGGGCGTTAAGTAAAGGTCGACAATTCATAATATACCAAAGACAAGACTTTAATAAAAACCACAAAAGGAGGCAAAAGCACTAAAGTAGGAGGAAGAAATCTTTCTTAAAGGTTTTTTTTTTTTTTTTTGGATTAAAGAAAACTAGGAAAGTAGTAGAACAAGAAAACCTCAAGAAATCCAGAAAAGGAAAAACCACCACCAGCGAAAGGGCTAGAAATGGACAACCGCGAACTACCTTAGTGGTAGGCGGCAGGAGGATGCAGAGGCAAGCAGGACAGTCGTTGTCCGGAACACCCTTACTAGCAAGGTGCTTTCTCGAGCTATGGCGTACGGGGACGAAGGTTGCTTTGTCAAACAGCGATAAGGGTCCTCGCGATTTGGTGGTGCCGGGCAGAAAAGAGATCGCCGGCAATCGAGAGGAGAAGCCGCCTTCACCGATCGCCGGCGACCCGCCTAAGAGAGCAAGGAGGAGGGTGCTGGCTTTATAAAACCAGGAGCTCGCTGTTGGTATATTTTTTTTGGGGGGGAGGGGGGTTTAATTTGGCATTCGCTGCTGGTATAATACTATAATTAGTGTTTTATTGTCATTATGTAATGATTATAAGACGATTTGACAATTTAAATTTTGAAATTTGAAAAAATATGTATTATTTTCCAATTTGATGAAAAACAATAATTTTATTTTTCTATTAAATAGTCAATAGTTGTTGAATATCTTTAAATCTTAACATATCATATATTGAATATAGTTCTCAATATAAATCTTTTTTCAAGTTAAGAAATTAAAAAATGATTTTCAAGAGACTAAGAAAAAAAAGTCGAACATGATTAGCAAACTAAACTGGTACAAACTTGCAATCCGGGACATCGCTCGGGCCACACACTAGTTTTAATTTGAACGAATTCCCTAAAAATTCCTTAATTGTAAATTAATTCCCTATTTGCGTCAATTTGAAAACTTATTCCCACAATATTGTCCACGTAGGATTGGTAGAAGCTTTGTATTTTTTTTTTATTTAGGTTCGGCAAAGAATCGCTAACGGTGATAGTGGTTCTATACTTATTATAAAACTGCTAACGTCGTTAGCGATTCATGTATTAGGTTTTAACCAGTGAGGTTTCCTAATACAAGAACCTAATATAAAAACCGCTAACGACTTTAAAGGTTTTATAAGTATAGAACCACTATCACCGTTAGCGATTCTTTGCTGAACCTAAAAAAAAAAAAAAAATCAAAAACAAAAACAAACCTTATCATACGTGGACAATATTATGGGCATAAGTTTTTAAACTAACGCAATAGGAAATTAATTTACAATTAAGCAATTTTTAGGGAAATCAAGTAATTAAGTTGATGAATTTATTTTAAATTCCCTAATATTAGAATCTATACTTATATACTAAAGTAACCCCCGTAATTATTCCTAAAATACACGTGTTATCACCTCATAAAAAAAATTCCCGCTAATTGAAAGAAGTTTGTTAAGTTTTTGCCTTATATTTAGGGAAGGGAATAATGCACAACAATAATAATTATTATAAAATTAAAAATTGTAGTGGTAAAGCATTGAAAAAAAAAAAGGTTACGTTATACTAAACTATAAAATACTACTAAGGATATTATCATTTTTTTTTGTTATCGTCAAGAATAACATGAATAGTGAATACTTTTTAGTTGAGAATAAAGGTAAGCTTTCATATTACGAATACTAAAATGTTATTACTCCTTCCATCTCACATTACTTGTAATAAAAAAGTATCACAATGTTTATTGCGCTTTTTTTTTATTCTCTTTTTATGTTTACTTTCTGTTTTGTACGATTTTTAATAAACGAATAATAAAATACTACTTCCTCTGTGCTTTTTTTACTTGACTTGTTTCTTTTATCACGCTTGCCAATGCAAAACTTTAACGATCAATAACTTTAATTCTCCACTAATAAAAATTATAAAAGTTATATACTCCCTCCCATTTTAAATACTTGCTCCACTTTCCTTTTCAATACTTGTTCCATTTCCTTATTTGGAAAGCTTTAATAATATTTAATTCATTTCTCTCAACTAGTGGACCCAACATAAATCATACGAAGTATTTTATTAATTTCATATGCTCTCTCCTCCAATTCTCTCAAGTACTTTTGATTTTTACAATTTTTTATTCTTCCACCTACCCCACTACCTTCATATTTTATCACTTTCTCCAATTTCTCCTAAAACTCCGCGCATGGAGAAATGGAGCAAGTATTTAAAAACGGAGGGAGTATTATGATAGTACTATTGAGACGAATTAAAAAAGATCTCACATGAATATGTTTTTCCTTATATATTATTCACAAAAGATGGTCAAAGGATGGGTGGTGAATAGTGTAAAAGTCAAAACGAGTCAAGTAAAAAGGAACGGATGAAGTATTGTATTGTAAAACCGTGAATAGCACGGGTTTTGAACCAGTAAGAATATATGACCAGAAATTGAAGTTGTAAACCATAAAAATTTAAACCTGCAATATAAAAATAAAGAGGTAGAAAAATATACGGAAACAATAATATATTTGTGGGTTACAACTCTCGTAGATCTTTTGAGTAGTACGAGGCCTTGTCGGCTTCATCCATACTATATATGTACAATATTTGGTAGTAGGGAGATGGGGTCTTTGTGACTTGTTCCATTTGAGCCTCTTTATATAGAGTGTCGTAAAGTAATAAACAAGATAGCTATCACATATTTTACAAGATAATATTTTAAGTATATTTAACGCCTAAATATTAACAAATTTCGGTGTTAATAGAGGTCACACTTGCAAAATTCTTTTCTTCACAAATGAAACTCCATGAGATTGATCCCACAACCAGCAACAATGGCAGACGCCTTCGCCGGAGGCTAAACAACGAAGAACAAGATCGATTAAGCTCACTTCCAGACTCCATTCTCACCGACATACTCTCTCATCTCCCAACCAATTCCGCCGCCACCACCTCCGTCTTATCCCACCGTTGGCGCCACCTCTGGACCACCGTCACCTGCTTCCAATTCGACTTCGATCTCTCCGAACAAACTTCATCAAACATCCTCTTAATCGTCAACAACATCTTACAACAGATGATCGCCCCAAAACTTTATGGATTTCACCTGGTATTTCCATCGGAATCTAACTTAGATCAACCTGATGCTGCTGAACAATGCTTTCGAACAATTTTTCGCCGAAAAGTTGAACAAATTGTGTTCAATGCAGGATTCAGGAGTTTCTTTAGGGTTCCTGCTGCTTGTTTGTTTGACTCGCAATCTCTGGTAAGTTTGAAATTGATTGGTATGCTTAAGATTGAATTGCCTGAGAATATTGAAATTCGGCTTCCTAATTTGAAGAAGCTTAGTTTATGCTATCTTCTCGATGTTCCGATCATGTTGCGTAATATGTTTGAGTTTTGTCCATTGTTGGAAGATGTGCAATTGAGTTTTGACTTGATTTCTTTGCCACAACCCCAGAATCCACATTCTTTGGTGAATGTGTTTTCGCCGAATTTGAAGTCATTGGATATATGTATGAATTCGTGGTGTCATCTGAAACGGAGTCGGATTTTTATTGATGCGCCGAAATTGGCAAACATTAGGGTTAGTGATTGTTATTCGTTTTATTCCTTTGTCCAATATCCAACTGCATTAGCTAGTGCTTGTATTGACTTGAAGGGGAATTCAATAGTCGAGTCTAATGATTTTGAGTTACAAGATGAAGAGGATCTGTATGTTAATGGGATGTTCGAGTTTTTGGAAAGAATGTCTAGTGTTGACAACCTTGAGCTAATGGTAGGAAAACGTACCAATATATTTACCCGTCTTGGGGTGGATATGCCAATCTTTAATAATCTAGTGCGTCTTAAAGCAAATTGTTTCAAGGATTTGATGCGTTGTTTACATAATTTTCCAAAGTTAGAGCATCTTGAGGTGAGCTTATGTTCGGAAGATTATGATGTTCCAACAGAACAGAGGGATTGGTATGCACCATATTCTGTACCAGATTGTTTGGTTAGTAAGCTTAAGACTGTACGAATAGAGGGACTTAAGGGGATTGACGATGACCTTAAGTTGCTAGAGTACATTCTACGTAATGCAATGGTTTTGGAAAAGCTTTGCACAACAATTCGTTTCAAGGTCGAACATAGAATGCGTTCTAATGTGTTGAAGGAATCTCATTTCTATAAGTCCTTGTACAATCTTCCTAGGAGCTCCTCAACTTGTGAGGTTGTGGTTCCAAAGAGAGTCACAGCATCAAGTGATGTCTTCAAAAATGGATATGCAACTTCTTGCTGTCCAAATACCAATATTTAAGCTGTTGTAGATATTTATACTCAAATTATAATTTCTTTTACTCATACAATGGCTGTTTTATTTTCTGTATGTTAACTTCTTTTACTTAATGGCAGTTGTATATAAAACGAGTTATTGTTGGCTTATATTATTCATACAATGGCTATTGTAATTTGTAATTACTAAATGTGAACTTATTTTACTCATACAAAGGTGGCTCTTTGATCCATGTATGCCTCAAATTGTTTTCTGTAATGGGAAAACATACATCATACACATGAATTTAGCTTTGTTGGACATACATTAACAAATCAAGGGATTAAGATGCTTGAATTCTCTTTTTACCTTTGATTTTGTTTGAGGTTATTTGACGAAATTATAGACTAACCTTGAGCCCAATACAAATAAGGAAGAAGATAGCAAAAATAACTATGCTAACAGGGTGTGAGACTGAAAACCTTGGACATTGTAGAATCTAGTTCTCTCTTTCCTTATATGTTTATGGTGTAAGGTGTAACCTAAAAATAGTATCATTCCTATGCAATCAGAGCTCATAGATAGTTTCAGTGAAGCACATAACATACAGCTTATCTCTGTCACTAGCCTTCCTGCTCTTTTTAGCTGCTCTCAAGTTCAGATTCAAAATCTTAGCCACTTCTTTATACTGCAGCAGCCTCAAATTGTTACCCCAAACTTCCGAAGAGAAACCACGTTCAAAGAACGAGTGCTGCACTTTTTGAAGCTGGCTGTGACACATAACACAATTAATATCACATAAAATTCCATATTAGCTGAACCTATCTGTTGTGTACAATTCATTCTGAAATATTAACAGCATTGAAAATTTCCTTTTTTTTCCGCATCTTTTAAACCTACAAAATATATGTTCTGAATGGTAAAGACATTGTAGGCACGGATTCATTAGTCTCAGAGAAATGAATATTACATCTCTAAGAACCAGGAGGAAGAAGCTTGAAAGAGTTGTTTTAAGAAACTCTTACTCCCTAAATTACAGGACTATCTTTACTAATTTCAAAACTAAAATGAGCTCAAAACAAGTGCACCAATACAGCTTTAATAAAACATCAATTTAACTATTTTCATTAAATTAACGTTAAATATCTTCACCTACAAAACTTTTGCTATTTTCAACCATTATTTCTAGCAACAGTATTACAGTAAGGATCTAAGATTTAGGCCGAAAAAGAGATGGGAGCTCGAAAGAAAATTCTTTTGCTGCCCAATGGAGTATAGCAAAAACACCAAGCCATGCGACCTTCAAAGTACCCAGTATTTGTAAGACGTATGCAAGGGCATCCACAGCAAATCGGTCAATGCAAAACCATACTAGATGCTGATTCTGATGCAACCAATGTATCATTCCTGTGAACTATAGGTGACAGTCGCACAAACTGTTGATGCTCATTTCACCAATGACCTCAGAGCAGCCTCAACATCAGCAAGTGGCTGACCAGCATAAAGCTTTAATTCTCCCTTCCTTAGAACAAATACTTCGTTGTCAAGAGTTTCTGCCATTTCTTTGAATTCCTGCAAAAATCATAGCCCATCATGTTACGAATATATGGACAGTTCAATATGCCTTGCCTACCGGTGATATAAAGGTCTATGCACAGCTATGTAGAAAAAAAAGAGTTCTAATAAGGTATTGTTTTCATTCCTATAAATTATGCATCACTAGTATCCTTAAAATTCACATCTCCATCATTCTATTGTAGTCCTACAAATTTTATGTTAAAGGTATCATTAATGCTGGAAAATCACACATTATAATATGCTATAGTTTGATTTGGAAAGGGTAGAATAGAAATTTGGCCTATTATTTAGGGACGGAGGAAGTATATCAGATTAATATTTCAGGCTATGGATAGCAACTTCAAGATACTACAGGCTAGCTGCCATAATGAATAACTTATTAATAACTACTGTTTCCGTGACCAAAAAAAAAAAAAGCAAATACAGCATATTTTGAGCTTTACCTTTGTTGAAATAGGAGCGATATCTACAGCAGCATCAGGTAGATCCTCAAAAGCTGATTCCAGAAGATAACTGAAGTTCTTAGCATCATTGCGATCTTCAAAAGCAACAGTGTAAGACGAGTAAGACTGATTCTCTGCATCAGTGTAGATCCTTATGTTATAGAATCCCCGCTGTGCTTCATCACCTATACCATTTTGCATCAAAATGACCTAGAAAAGGTGTTGCTCATCAGGACAAATGTGGAGATTTTAAAAGTTATATACATTGGGAGCAATGGCAGATAATAGTTGTAAGGATTTTGATACAGGTTCCCCAGTTTAAAAGATGAACAGTTGGCAAATGCTATCACAAATCCATAAAAGCAAATGAGTTGAAGCAAAGATTATATTTCAGAGGAGCACAATATACACTTTTGATAGACAAAATTTCAGAAGCTATTCTGAGATTTTTGACAGCAAAATATTAAGATTATTTACAAGAATGTCCTGTTTAGAATTACCATCATACCAAAATAAAGCTGTAGGTTGAAAACTAAGGATGCAACACATTTAAAACTGCTATTGCGTATTTAGATAATACTTCATATCATTTTCCCGTAAATCATCATCTACAACAATCCAAGCTGCTATTACAATAGTCTAGACTAGGATAAAGACTACGTAAAAAAAAGGCATTCAGTTTGTTCAACAAGGGACATAGAATGTAGATGTTAGAATAAGTTCAAGAACATAGTAGCTTGTACTTCGTAACAGAGGACTTTAATAGGGGAAAAAATCCAAAAAATAAAAAATGAAAAAAATAACATACAACAGATTTCACCAAATTCAACAAAAAAAGGATCCATAAGCTGTGTCCAGATTTAATATGCTATTCAAACTATATATACTTCGTATCATGATGACAATTATTTACAAACAAGAGTGCCAATTTCTTCGTTAAGAGGTTTAGAGAAAATGGAAGGCTTAATCAAAGCAAGGAAAAAATACAGATTCATGTCCTACATCAACCATCGGTACTCCAAAAATACTTGTAAAAACATTAGAAAAGCCTCCCATAGTCCCATCTGCCTCGGTTATTCCCCTTTCCAGAAAATCAGTAATAATAATAGGCAAGACATCACAACATCAATATGTCATATTTCTACATAAAATTGTCACACCAGTAAACGCAAAATACTATATTATAGTCACATATTCAGCTTGCAAGATCCATAAGTTAATTGACTAGATTATTCCATTTAGGAAAAAATTAACACAATATTCAAAAATATATATATATATATATATATATATATATATATATATATATATATATATTCATATTCTCTGATGACAGAACATAATTAAGTTTGAAACAAACAGTATGGAAAAATGAGCAAATAAGGTTGGCCGGAGTTATCTACTCACAAGAACATATGGAAGTTTTGACCACCAAGGATTAACATTCTCTAGGTCATCCTTGTCAATGCTCCGGGGTAGTTTTCTTTCTAGTTTGTTAGAATTGGGTTGACCTTTTCTTCGTGGCATCATCGGTGACTCGGATGTTGTTGAGGCAGCATGATCAGCCATCTTCTTTTTGCCTTCAGTTGCAATAGTGCTGTACATTTTGGCTCCTGAACCCTCATCCAAACTGCTTCCATCACTAGAGTCCTGGACAAGACCTAAAGATTTAACAAATAACTGAAAGATGCACAAATAATTTTTTACAATTGCAAAGTTAAGAACTAGTATTCTCTGAGTGAATCCAATTAGTGTAAACTATATGACCAGCACTTCTAACAACTGCAATTAGATGACTTGAATGCCTTGAAAACAACAGCACCATATAAGAATGTTCAAAGAGACACGAAAGAATGGCCATCCTCAATCTTTCATTCTTGAAGTTTATTATCATACCATAGCTTTCTCAGAACTTCTTATAGGTTGAGCTTTCAAATTTCCTTAAAATAAATAGCTACATATACATTATACTCGAATGAGTAATCAACAAATCCACACTATACCTACATGATAACAACTTGTAGTGAAATAAGAGTACCATTTTAACTCCCAAAAACTCAGGTAACAAAATCTACACTACACCTGTATGGCAACAAAAGCTTTATCAAAATGAAAGTATTTTCTTTTATTCTTCACACCTACTGATGGACTGATGTCCTAACTCTCTGCCACTAGAATCGAAGCTTTCATATATCATATATGTTCCACTTTCCAAAAACTTTGTCAAGTCAAGATATTAGGCTTCCCATAAAAGGCAACAACTTAAGAGCCATTTTCAAACCAAAAAAAAAAGTAAAAAAAAATAACAATACAAAATTTGAATACTACTAATCTGAAAGAAAGAAACTCGGCAATCATATTTGACAAACATAAGAAGGCTAACACATGAAACACCATATTACCTTTAACTGGTTTGGCACCCTCATTTATTTCCTTGCTCAACTTTTTTTCTGTCCTGTTGCTTCCCAAGGCAGTTGAACCATTTCCTGGTTTGGCACCCTCATTACTTCCCTTGCTCGCTTTTTTTGCTGTGCCATTGCTTCCCGAGGAAGTTGGACCATTGATTACCTTGTCTAACTTCTTTCTTGCACCATTGCTTCCAAACCCTTTCCCAGGACCTTTCAATTGTGCAGAACTTTGAGGTACTGGTATCTTCCCTTCTTTATCCATACCATTATTGCGGTTTTCAGGAATCGTTTCCTCGAGAACATCTATTATCTGACTATTATCATTACCACTTCCTGTTCCCTCCACTGGTTTTTCATCATTTCCACTACCATGTCTCCCTCTTACACCATCAATATTTTGAAATCCTTTAGGTTTCTCTTCAGGTTTAGTCAGATGACTTCTAAATTTATGCTTCATCTTAAACAATAACATACTATCTTCTTCTTTACCATCCAAAGCCTCATTTTTCTCCTCCTTCCCAGACCCCTCTGATTTATTTAAAAAATTAACATTCAGCGAAGGTGCTGGATATTTTTTCTTCAACTTACTTAACCGTACATCAACTTCCTTCACAATACCACTGTTGGTCTTAGAATCATTACTCTCAAAATCCTCACTATCATTGTCATCATCACTCACATCATCTAAATCTGCTTCACTATTCTCTACCTTCTTCCTCTTTTCAGCCTCTCTTACCTCCCATGCCATCTTTCTAATTTCAGAAATCTTAGCTTCCATTTCTGACTCGTTCACACCCACACCAGCCCAATCCTTCAGAAAAGCTTTCCCATTTATTTTCACTTCCCCTTCTCGCATCCCCAGCATAAGCTCCTTTTTCGGATCCCCAACTACCAAACTCCCATTATTCTCATCAGACTTATTAGAACCCATTACCCAAACAGCAACAACAGTCTGTAAAACAAATAAACCCACAAATGAACCAACAATCTTAACAATGGTACTGCCTGAAATTCCACCATAACCCACCAAACTTCGAGCCTCAGAATCCCTAACAACTTCTAGTTGACTCAAACCAGATTCATTCTCTGATTCTTCGATAAACCTAGAACTCGATTGTTCCTTAGTGGAATCCGAAGGAACCTCAACATTTGGTTCAATTGGCTGAATGGGAGCTTCTATATGATCATCCAAAGGGATATTGTAGGGTTTAGTAAGGGTTTTAAGGATCTTAGGGCGCAAGTAGTTTTTCCTCTTAGCACGCCTCAAAGACGAAGAGGGTACACGAATCGAGCATCGAATCAGCGTTTTTCTGGGTGATTTGTGAGCCTTGTATGAGACAAAGGTGGCAAAGGGATAAGGCAAACTCGCCAATGCCACCATTTTTCCCACTCGAAATTCAACTTAATCAATCTTATCCTTCTATTTCAATGAAAAGTCCAATATAATTCTCAATAATCAATCAAATTAAACAACCAGCAACCAACTGAATACTACTATATCGCTACTTTCATTAAAATGCCAATTATAACTCAATCAAACAAAATTGAAGAACCCTAATCCCCCATCAGTAAAAAGCAATACCCAATTCAGCAAATCATCAGCCTAAACATTCCCAAATGTTAAAGCCAGTAAATTCCTCTTTTTTCTCATAAAAATTAGCAATCAAATAAGGCCAATTAACAACGTACAAAACTGAAAGAGATGGAAAACCGTTGAAATTTCTCAGCAACAAAAGCTTGAATTCGATACCAGGGAGGTGAATTTAGAGGCGGAGAAGATGAGCGTCGTCTGCTTCAGAAGACCACAGCACAGGTAGAGTGAGAAAAAGAGGGAAGGAGAGGAGAGAGAAAGATGCATAGAAATTAGGAAATTGAATTATTTAAATGGGCTTTATCCCCAAATTCGGGTTTTCAATTCAGAAACTTTGAGTTAGGCCCTCGTTTACTACAACTTAATTCTACAGTTTTTTGCGGTTTGATCTGTTTTGAATTATTTTTTTTATGGAGTATTTTTTTTTTGGAAAAATTGCTAAAAATAATCCCAAGTTTCACGTATTCGTTTTAAATAATCCCAACTTTGAATTATTATTATTAAATAATTTCAATTTTGGGGTGTATTCGCTCAAAACAGTCCCTAACCAATTACTAGCCTATTATAACAGGTTTTAGGAACACGTGGCATCACGTGATTAGTTAATTTTTTTACAAAACTTTTTTAATAAAATTATTAAAAAGAAAAGAAAACTTAAAAAATGAAAACTGCCCAGCACCTCCACCCACCTTCCCCACCACCATCGCGGCGGCTGGATGCCTCTTCGCTACCCACGCGCCGGCAATAACTCCTTCCCCTCGTCCTTCGCGCCGGTCAGCTATCCTTCCTGGCGCTCCTTCCCCAATAACCACCAAACCCGCCCACCCTAAAACCCACGAAAAACCTAAAAACAACCTCACCGCTGCAAAAAAAACCCCCCAAACGACCCTTTCCCCACCATTGGAACCGTAGCGCTAGGGTCCCGGTGGTGGGGGAAGGGTCGTTTGGGGGTTTTTTGCGACGGGAAGTTAGTTTTTAGAAATTTCAGGTGGTTAATTCAGTGGGCGGGTTTGGTGGTTTTGGGGCAAGGTACGCCGGGAAGGGGAATGCCGGCGCGGGGAGGAGGGCTGGGCGCGATGGTTTGGGGCAGGGGATGCTTGGGCTTGCCGTTGGGAGAAGGCTACCGGAAATCCGGCTGGTGGTGGTGGTTGTCGTGGGTTGGGGTTGGGGATGATGTTTTTTGTTTAGTTTTTTTTTTTTTTTTTTTTAATTTTCAGCTAATCAAACGATGACATGTGTTACAAAAAAAGCCAAAAACAATTTTTTTTACCTCTTTAACCGATTATGGTCACTTGGGCCTATTTTGAGCGGATGACCCCCAAAGTTGGGATTTTATTTAATAATAATCCAAAATTGGGATTATTTAAAGCGAATACGTGAAAGTTGGAATTATTTTTACCAATTTTTCCTTTTTTTTTAAAAAAATAAAGTCTCAAAGGACAATATATATTTTATTAATTAAAGTCATACGGGCATACGGCATCTACAATTAACAATCAACGATAATGAAGAAAAATTAACAAAATCAAACAAAAATAAACCGATTTGATCTGTTTTGAGTATATTTTTCTGATTTGACCTTATTTATTTTACGATAAAGATTTGAATTATAATTTATTTATTTTTTTTGTAAGAAGTTCATTGAACGAAGAACAAATTACAACCTATAAGGGCTACTATCAACACACTAATTGGAAGAGAAACCCTTATGAACCTTAGTTGAGGCACCACGTCTAAACAAACACATAGGTATGGTGTCGTGATGAAGACTACCAATTGCATAACACCATTGACGTCGAAGCCGGGAATACCAAACTAACCGAAAAAACTCGAGATGGACCAAGTGAAGAAAACTGAATTTGCAAAAACCCAAAAGCAAATTCGAAAGGGAAATTGCATAGACTACCACGGCGAACCGGGTGGACATCCTTAAAAAAAAAAGAGAGAGAGAGAGAATTGATATCAAAGTTGAAGATTAAACGATTTCATTTTCATAAATATCAAGCATGTTGCCTGCTTTTACTTTTTTCAGGAGCTGTACATATATTTTTTAGCCCTCATAAAGTGAACAAGAAGTCTCATTTTACCATCGAGTTCAAACACAGTACATTTTTATGACTTGTTTAAAGTGATAGCCAAAGAAATCAATCAGGGTTCACTGAATGTTATAACTAAATCCAAAAATACCTTCACCCTTAAGATCAAATCGTCTCTTAGCGTGTTCTATACGACAGCTTGGGCGTTCATTCTCTACAGCCAAAAGAATGCACCATATTGTAGAAAAACGAACCGTTGAAATCACTCTACTCCTAGGGATGGCAAAGCGTAACTACACTTAGGAGTCTAGGAACACAATCAAAAGAGTAATACTCCATATTATTATTTGGAAAAATTCATGGGAATAATCCCACCTCTGGGCCGATCGTTTTTAATAATCCCACCTTTGGATTATTATTTAATACTCCAACCTTTACCCCCAATTCTTTTTTAATGGTCCTAATCGGTTATGTAACCTGTTATAACAGGTTACATGACACGTGGCGGCCTGTAATTGGTCAAATTTTTTAAAAAAAAAAAAAGAAAACAGTAAAAAAATACTCCCAGCCACCCCTGTTCCTCTTTCCCCTGCCCTTACCCTCTTTCTCACCTCCATGAATTCCGACATACTCCCAGCCACCTTCACCGCCCTTCCCGAATCACCATGTTGCCCTTCCCAACTTCCCTAGCCACCCCAACCACGACCACCCACCCTCATTCTTCACCTCCACCCGAAACTCAACCGCCCCTCTACTCAACCCCAACCACCGCTACATTTACCACCTTTCTACCCCACTCGAAACACCCGAAAACCACCTGTAATCGTAAACCGCTGCTTTACCACCTCTTTCTCATCTCTTTGCTAAGTGTTTCGGGTTTCTAGGGTTTCGATGTGGGTCGATTAATTGTTGTTGCTGGCTGATGGCGAGGTGGAGAAAGAGAGCAGCAGCAGGGGTTTGGAAGTGGCAGTAATGGGGCTGCTGCTGTCTTGAGGTTGTGCGTGAGAAGGTGTGGCTGATTGGTGGTTGTTTGTTGCAGGTTGGTGGCTGATTGGTTGCGCAGGGTGGAGGTGCATGGGCTGAGAGAGCACGTGCGGTTATGGTGGTGGTTCGAGATGGCTAGGTTCGAGGCGGGTGAATTCGCGAAGGGGGCTGGGGGTTCGTGGTGGTTGCGTTCGGGGTGGGGGGTTTAGGGTGGTGGTTATGGTGGGGATGGGGCTGGGTTGCGGATGGGGGTTTGGGGTGGTGGTAATGAAGGAGGTGGCTGGGTTGCCTTTTTTTTTGTTTTCTTTTTTTTTTTTTAATTTTGTTTTTATTTTAAAATTTTAGACAAATTGTATAGTGACAAGTGTATTTTAAACCAAAAAAAAAATATTTACCTCTTCAACCGGTCAATGGTCACCCGTGACCATTAAAAAAGAATTGGGGGTAAAGGTCGGATTATTAAATAATAATCCAAAGGTGGGATTATTCCCATGAATTTTTCCTCATTATTTTTACTACTCCCTCCATACCTTCTTATTTTTTTTTTACGTTTTGATTTATTTGGACTATTTTGGTCAATCAGGGCATTGACCGGTCTTGCTTCATTTCTTTGCTAGGGGTGAACATGGACTGGTTTGGTGCGGTTTAGAAAACAAATCATAAAAATACGGTTTGACATTGTTTTCAAACCAAACCGTATTTCATGTTAAACCAAACCAAACCAAGCCGCATTAAAACGGTTTGGTGCGGTTTGGTTTTACATTCCTTTGATTTATTATTATAAAATTAATTTTATTAATTTATAGTTGACAACTTAAAATGACGCAAAAAAAAAAAAAAAATCTAACATCTTACTAAAATAAATCACATACATCAATTAGATTAAATTTTTTTATAAATGAATATAATATTTTTTATGCATATAATGATTTATTATGGTTTGCAATTTGTTTCAATTTTTCAAGAAAATAAACCGAATGCGATTTTAAATTTCTATAAACTAAACTGTAAGTTTAAAACCGTAAATCAAACCAAACTACTAAATAAAGTTTGGAAAAATAAGGTTTGGTGTGATTCAAACCAAACTCTGAACACCCTTTTGCCTTGTTTTTTTGTTTTTTTTTTTTTTTTTTTTTAACCGGTACACCCTTTTTGCCTTCTTCTGTAACCCAAATAGCTAAAAAACAATACAGAGAGAGCAAGAGTGAAGAGTGAAGAGTGAGGAGTGAGATTCATGGAAAAATTGAGAATGGGGGATTGCAAAACCATGAAATATTATGTCAGAAAACGACCCAGAAGATCAAGTGAGGAAGAAGAAGACAGGTTGAGGTCACTTCCAGACGCCATTCTCACCGATATTCTCTCTCGCCTCTCAATTCATTCCGCCGCCACTACCTCCGTCTTATCCCACCGCTGGCGCCGCCTCTGGACCGGCGTCACCCGCGTTAATCTCAATGTTTACAGTCGATCAAAATCCACGGACAAAATCAGCTACATCCTACGCCAGCTTACTTGTCGGAAACTCCGCCACTTTGGTCTCACTCTCGAAGAGTGGTTCCATTCTCCTGCAATTAGTGTATCAGAAGCAGAATCATTGTTCTTCCAAGTTTGCAGCCGAAATGTGGAAAATATCAGTGTAAATGCTGGGTATGATGTTTCCTTTTCATTACCCGCTTTTCTGTTCAATTCTCAATCTTTGGTAACTTTGACAATACTGGGTTTGCTTGAATTGCCGAAAATTAAAGATTTGTGTGTTCATCTCCCTAATTTGAAGAAGCTTTCCTTAGACCAGCTTGATGATGTCCCTCTTTGTTTGGAGACTTTAATTAAGTCTTCCTCACTTTTGGAACATTTGGATTTAGTGTTCAATCTAGATATGTCTAGTCATGTTGTGAATATAATTGCTTCCAACTTGAAGTCGTTGTCTATAACAATGCTAGACAGTACTCGAGACACTAGAGTATATATCGATGCACCCAAATTGGTAAACCTTAAAATTGAAGATTGGAGTTCAATTTATTACTTTCTCCGGAATCCATCTACATTAGTCAAAGCGTGTATTGGATTGAATAGGGTTGACGGTTATTTTCTGGAATTAGAAGATGAAGAGGAGGATGAGCAGGGTTACGGCTCATTATCTGGACCACGAAAAGAATATATTTGCCAGATGACCAAGTTTGTTGGAGGATTGTCTAGTGTTAGCAAACTTGAGCTGAAGCTAGATAGTTGGACCAATAATTTGAGATATTTTAATTATGTGAATATGCCAATCTTCTCAAATTTAACCTGTCTTGAAACAAATTGCTTTAAGGATTTGCTGACTTCTTTAAATTGTTTTCCCAACTTAGAGCATCTTGAGGTCTGCTTAAAATTAAGTGATGATATAATGGAGAAAAGGAATTGGTGTGCACCGGATTCAGTTCCAGATTGTTTAGTAAGTAAGCTAAAGACTATACTAATAACGGGACTAAAGGGCATTGATGATGAACTCAGGCTTCTAGCATACATTCTGAGTAATGCAATTCTTTTGGAAAAGCTTCTTGTACAATTTTGTACAGTGGATGGGGCATATATTAAAAATGAACGTGAAAAAGCGTATGCAGTGTGGAAGGAATGTCAGTTTTGTAGGTCAATGTTAAACCTTCCAAGGAGCTCCTCGACGTGTGAGGTTGTGGTTTCTGGTACGTCTGTCACTGCATCAGGTAATGCTGTAGAAGGTAAATTCCTTACATGTCAAATATATTTGAGTGAATACACCTGACATATGCAATCTGTTTTCCAAATGCAACATTCTAGCATATGCGTTGCAGACTTGCAGGTATTGACTACTAAGTTCTGATTGATTTTTGGTTTATGTATAATTACATGTAGTTTTGATTTTGGCATAACAATGTTTCTAGAAAGGGAGGATATGTAGTTTTGGATATGTATCAAGCCAATCAAGGTATCGTAGCCTTGCAATGTATTTTACTCTTTTCTGTAAGGTTTATATGATATATTCAAGATCGTTTACTACTTTACTTCTCTTTATATGGTTATGCGGGGTAATTCATTTATTTGTTAATGCCTTAGTGTATGTAGTATGAACTCTGAAGTACATCTATAAATGTAATGAAATTTTCCAAAAGCTCACTGGTGTATCGATAGATTAAGAAGCTTAAATTCGAAAGTTGTTCTAAACTAATTTTAGGACTATCATTTTCCCATACATTAACATGTACGGCTGACTAATGAGAACAGGGTTCTTTGCAACTGGTGATCTATTTGTAAATACTAAATAGAAAAGTAAGGCAGAAGATCAAAGTAAGAAACTGTTAGATACATTTTTATCTGTATAGATATTTGACATTTTATATGGAGTAAAGATTACTAAGAAAAGTTGGGGTGGGATTTTTTTTTTTTTTTTTTTTTTTTTTATACATAAAGATTCCGAGGAGAGGACAGTGCAGAAGCTGTTTTTACTAGTGATGAGAGTTTAGGAATCCTGTATATTCCCTTTCTGTTTAGAATGCTAAAGCTAGGCAGCTTCTCTTTGTGCTTAAACAGTCAAATCAGATCTTTGCACTACCCTAGTCATCTAATTGGCAAGTGAAACTTGCCTTCTTTTTACTTCATTTTTTATTTTTCTATTTGTGTATGTTAAGACTATCTCTAATTGTGAGACTTTAAGGAGGTTTTTTTTAAGAGAGAGTGACTATTTTTTGCAAAGAATACCAATAAGTTGGTATCTAAACTTAGCAACTCCAAAAGAAAGTTGCTAAGTTTAGATACCCAACTTTGAGTCTCATTTGACAAAAAGTGTGGACCCTTTATTAATATTATAATATATTTGTAATTTATTTAAGTTATATTTTATTTATTTTTTTGAAAAACTTATAATATGGATTTGGTGGCCATAAATTGAAAGTGACATTAGTATACTTTAGAGAGTCTTACCATTGGAAAATTAGACTTCACATGAGTTGCTAATTTGAGAAGTGAATTGGGTATCACCATTGGAGGTAAAAAACAACAACTCATTTTGTATTTCAATACTCAAAGTTGAGTCTCACCAATAAAAATGGTCTAAATACAATGTAGAATAGTCAACGGATATTAAAAGAAGGTTCTACGAATAATATATGACCTTGATACAACACATCTTAAGAAAACTGTTCAGTCTACTTCCTTGTGGAAACTAAATTGCAGGTGAAGAAGTTAGGTATATACAGCAGAAAAATGTCAAGTTATTCTAAGTATTAAGCTTTGCTAAGCACATTATTGCACATCTGCACAGGTATTGGCTTCTAAGTTTTTTTTGGTTATTTTTTTTTTTTAAAATGTATACATATAATTTTGTTTGGGCTTAGCAATGCTTCCTCTGTAAGAGTTATCGAGCCACTATGGAATTCAACGGTTCAACTTATAAATCTACACAAGCAGCAAACACTAGGAACAGTTATACTTGGAAAACGGGGTTGATCTCATCTAAGTTGGAAGTTAAATTAAATTAGTAAACAATCTGAGCTTATTGTACTGTTGTGTACATGTCATGTTATTCCTGATGCTATCAATAAGCAGGTATGGCAAGATAATCCATGTATTGTGTACGTACATACAGAGGCAACAGAGCAACATATATGACTATTATTATAGCAACATCCATTTGTTAGTTGTATGCTTTATATTATGTTGATATTATTACATGACAATGTTTTACAATGTAAGTCCAACTTTGAATTATATTAATCTTTGTCCACACAAAAACAAAACAATGATTTTCCTGTGCTAAAAGCAGGATTAAAGTACCCTAACCCTACTTTATATCCATGACCAAAGTAAATGCACCCATCACTCACTGATACACCCCCATAAATTGTAGCTCCAGTATCATATGACCATAAAATATTACCAACCTTTGCATCAATGGCATAAATAGGTCCTGTTACATTATTGGTTGATCCCGCGAAAACAACCCCATTAGCCACCGTAACAGGGCCTTGTGCGGAGGCATTGCTAGGGTTCCCTAAAGACCATAACACCTTACCAGTTGGAGCTTCCATTGCCACCCATCCACCTGCAGTAGTGTTTTTGTTAGAAGGTCTAAGGACGAAATTCTGTTGATCGGTGTTGGCTATGTTGGTGTATACTCTTTTTCCATCCGTCGCTGATCCCCAAATACCACCTCCTCCCAAACCTCCTGGTCCAGCTTCCTACATTATTTTAACCGAAACATATGTTAGTACACAACTTCGACAATCAATATCTTAGTATAGTAGTAAAATAAACACATAAAAACAAAGTTGATGATATGAAAATGTGTATTGTGACTAATCCAATAACATTTTACTTAATAAAAATCACATTTTCACATAATTAGTAATCTTACTCCGGGTTAGTATATGAATAATGCAAAAGTCAAAATGATGCACTTAAAAAAATCACATAGTAGAGTAATCATACCGTACTCCAAACAAGGTCTCCAGTATCCCTATCGAGAGCCCAAGTGAAGCCGCTTTTTTGAGTAGCAACTGCAATATCCCTCCTAGTAGAGTTAATATTAACAGTAAGTAACATTGGTGCCTCAGCAAAATCAGCATCAGGGTTAGGCCCTGGAGGACAATCAGGACTACTCGAGATATTATGGCAAGCAAAGAACCAAACATCATATCCACCTATTTGATGATACCATTTTATGTTTCCTGTGTCTAATTCCAAGGCCAAAAATGAATTAGAGTGATTTTCAGGCTCTACACACGACGTCGTGTTTGTAGGGAATGTTTGGTTGTTTTCCCTTTCCGAGCAATCTCTAATTCGTTGAGGGGCGGAGTAGAGGTTCCCGGTGGCTATGTACACAAGTTTCCTTGGTGCGTCGATGGGTGGACTACTTCCCCAAATTGCTGCCCCAGCATACTCCCCTCGTTGTCCATTGTTGTTAGGCAACATGTACGTTTTCCAGAGTATTACACCAGTTTTAGCGTCTATTTTCACAAAGCTACCACGAAAATGACAACATTCTTCTATGCTTCTTTCTTCTTCTAGTGATGATACTCCCACGTAGAAGGCCCTGAAATGGAGTAAAATTTTGGATTTAAGGAATCGATTCATTGCCTCTAACTATCACTATTACAATTATACCCTACTCCCCTTACAAGTTACCACTTATTTGCTCCCCCATGTTTATTTAAGGGCACTATTTGATCACATGCACCACTTTAACCAACGCATAATTTAAGGGCACTATTCGATTACATGCACCACTTAGATATACCTTTCATCATGCTCCCCCATGTTTATTTAAGGGCACTATCATCATGCTCACTCATGTTAGTTTTGTCTTACACATAACGATGTCAGTGCGGCGGGTCAAGTAGAATCCCCGCCCCATCCTCGCCCCAATGGGTCTCGGTTTGGCGGTTGGTGGGGCGGGGATAGATGGGGATGAACCGCCCCACTTCATACCCGCCCCACTTCGTACCCACCCCATCCCCACCCCATACCCACATCTATTTAATTTTGAAAAACAAAATTATATACTTATATAATATTTTATAAAAAATATTATGTAAAATAAAATAGTAAATATAATACTTTGTAATACACTTATATTATAAACAAGAAAACGTGTAATATAGGCATTGAATTTTTTCTTTTTAAAATAAAATAAAATTGTATTCTATATTAATTATGTATGATTGTGTATGTGTGAAGCGAGGATTAGGCGGGGCTTGGGTGGCGATTAGGTGGTGGTGGATATCCAAGTGGGGTTGGGGCGGGGATGGTTTTGAAATTGAACCCGCCGGGGCGGGGATGTGGACGAATTTTGGACCCGTCGCGGGGGTGGGGATGGGGATGAAAATTTTAGATGGGGATGAGAAAGCCAACATCCGCTCCGACCCGCCCATTAACATCCCTACTTACACATAAGCTAGATTTTATATATATATATATATATATATATATATATATATATATATATATATATATATATATATATATATATATATATATATATATATATATATATAGTCATGTAGTACCTTGTTAAAATCGTCTCAATGCATAATTTCTAAATCACTTTTTATAATCTATGCTTATAGATAACTAAAGATAGCATTAGTCAAAATTATACATTGACAAATGTGTTGGTCAAACAAGGGCACTTTAACAAAAAAAACATAGGGAGCAATATATATATGTGATGGTCAAAGTAAAGTGGATAAATAATGTCAAAAGTAAAAATAAACAAAATAAATATACGAGAGGTATTTAGGGCCTGCTGCTCACCCATTTTTCACTATTTAAGGTTCAACAAGTTTAGTTAAATTTAAATTATAAGTTTAGTTAAGGAAAAATAAGTTATGATAAAGGCTACTCAAATTGAAATTATAACATTGATAGATTTTAACAAGGTCTAATAATAAGTTTAGATAAGAAAAACTAAATTCAAATAAGTGATAATTAGGTGAACTGAACACACCCTTATTTTAACGAAATACCTGTTGTAATATGTCCCAGACATGGTAATAAGACTATCATTATGAGCATCCAATTTAGTCATCCAAACCAGTGAACCATCATTGATTCTTAGACCAAGCACACAAGACGGTCCATAAAGGCCAACAATAAGTAAACCTAAGTCCGGAGCCACCGTAGGCGTTGCCCGAGCCACGGTCACATTCACATTAACAACTAAGCCCGTCGAAGGGATACCAGTGAGCCCTTGAATGAACTGCTTCCACACTAGGGAACCACTAGAAGCCTTAACTGCATATACATAGCCATCCCAACTAGGAAAGTATAGAATTCCATTATATATTGCTGGTGTTGCTGTTATATCATTTTGAGCCTCAAATTTCCACTTTAGTTTCATATTTTGAACAGTTTTTGGACTAATCTTGGTCTCTTTTGAGGCATATCTCATATTTTGTAGGTCACCTCCATGATTTGGCCAATTTTCCTATCATAATCAAGAATTAGTAAGCTTGATGATATGATTATGTTAGTATAGGAAGAATAATGTCATGATACATACGCTCTTTGCCCTTTAATCTTCTCCTCATCTTAGAAAATAATATTTCAATTTTAATTAGAAAAAAAAAAAGAAAAAAAAAAATAGTCTATATACTGAATCAAAAAGTTTAGTTATTTGAATATCTTAAAGATCGATGATCAATTAACAAATACAACAAAAAGAAATAGTACAAACAAGTGTTGATCAAAAGATTAAGTTATAATTAAGTGAAAATCTATCAATATATCAAAGTTCTGAAATTTTACTAATTAGCAACTATCATATCCCATATTAAAATAATCAAATTTGTGCATGGACAATCGTGAAAGTCGAATGGATGCAACTATCTTCTTCCCCAACCCATCACTCGCCAAACCTTCAACCATCCCAGCATAATTGAGCAGATAGTTAAGGGACAAATCTCGACCAATTCACGTTTATCTCTAAGTAAAGGGGGTGATGTAGTAGTAATGTACACCTAAAATAACAAAACCGCTCGTAGTTTTTGCAAACTCTTCTAATATTGTTGGTGTATATAAATTTAATATTTAAAGTATGCAATGGGTGCATATAAATCTAGTTATAACCTGAATTCAGCACATTTAACTAAGAAATATCCAAAACACGTAGTTATATTGGCACAAATACAAGAAAATACCTTATTTTCACCCTTCACCACTCCAAATTTTGTTTTTGTTTCTTATCTAGTTTTCACTTTTTCTAACAGAAATAGTAAATTAAGTTTTAGGCAACATATATAGAATAAATAAAGAAAAAAAATATAAAAAGTAATAGAAGAAAATTAGTTAGAACTTACAAGGGAAGAATTTACAGTGACAAGAATCCATAAAAACGCAATAGGCAGGAGGAGGATAGAAGAATTGCTTAATCGTCTTGCCATTTTCAAATCAAAGAAGTTAAATAATGAAATCATATGGAATTAATTAGATAATGTCCCTGCCTCAATTTTATACTAAATATGAAATAAAGATCAAACTAAATTTTAATTACTACGTTAAGTACTTTGACTACTACCATTACGTATTATTTTAAGCTAGCTTCCTTCGAATAATCATTGCGTATTTCGTAATCAACCATTTAATTGACTTTTGGACGGTTGTGACTTGCAAAGATCAAGCATCATATATAAAACATAAAATGTGCTGATTACGCCAAAAATATATGAACAACGTGTTGATGTTTGACACTAGATTAGACTAATATCATAAGGTCTTTTTTTTTTCTTTTTTCTTTTTTTTTTGAAGATTGATATCATAAGCTTACTGGCTTATTAGTTGAATTTGCATGGGGAATGAGGATGGGGGTTCGATTCCTGACAGCCCCCCATTCCTTTGATAGGGTGGGGGCCTCTTCATAGTTTACCGTTTAAATAAAGGAAAAATTGCATTTATTAATCCCAACTTTGCACGATTTTATTTTATTAATCCCAACTTTGGAATATTGTGCAATAATCCCAACTTTGAGGTGTGTTTTCATTCTTCGGTCCGGATTACCTGTTACTTGAAGAAAGGGTTAAAAAAAATTTAAAACTATTTATTTGACACGTGTTGCATGCTAATTGGTTTATCAAAATAAAAATAAATTAATTAAAATAAAATTAAAAAAAAAACCCAAAGACCCATTTTCTGTTTTTTTTTTTAAAAAAAAAATAATTTTCTGTTTTTTTTTTTAAAAAAAAAATAATTTTCTGTTTTTCTAAAAGACCCATTTTCCGTTTTTTTTTTTTAAAAAAAATAATAATTTTTGTTATGAAAATATTAAATGTGGATGACTATTATCCCATGTATTATCTAGAATATTCTAGAGTTGGGTATTTGATTTTATCCGATGATGGAACCCTAGATAATATACATGTATATATATCCCCACTCTATGGAATAATAAACTGATCTATTCTCTCTCCATCTCTCATATTTTCTCCTTATTTTTATAACACGTTATCAGCACCATTGCTCTAGATTGATTTCAATATCAATTGAAGCATCTCAAACAACAATCAAAGTAACTACCAACATACTCTCAAATTTTTCCCCAATACTGCTACCTCTTGATTTCACGAACACCAACCAGAAAAGTAATTTCCTAAACCCCTCTGCCGAAACCACCGTTGCTCTGCTGATACCACCGATTCTTGTTCGTTGGGCTTGTTTGTACTCGTTCTTGCACTCTAATTTTAAGGGAGTTGACTTTCATAACTTATAATGATTAAATTAGTTGCTTGAATCTTAGTTTAATTGGGTCATGGTTTTAATTGATATAATTGGTGTTTTGTGAAGTATAGAACGGTTTCGAGGAGTAATATAGAGTGAGTTGTTGCCTGCAATTTGTGTGAAAATAGCATTGGATTATTACTCTGATTATCACTTTAAATATCATGCTAGGAGTTCATGTCATGTAATGTATTTTCAATTATTTATTTTGAACTATGAGTAGTGATTAATAGTAAAAAAAAAATAATAATAATAATATTAATGGAGAATGGAGTAATTAAGTTTGAAATGTTTTACATGGATTCATTGTAATATTTACTCTTTTTAAATAATAAAATTAAATTTAGGATTTTGTTTGTGTTCTTATTGATAAGTAAGAATTAGTCAATAATTAGTTATCTAGTTCCGGGCTATTGTCTTCTATGAACCAATTTGTTGATTGATGACTGATGTTAGCTATGTTATCATTAGCAACTCTAAGTGTTGATGATTGTGGAAAATTGTTGACATTGTAATTAGTAGAAGCACAATCTATTATAACATGCTTCTGTGTATTTGTGAGTTTAGCCAATCTTATTTTCATCACAATTAAAATAAAATAAAATAAAAACTTAGGGAAAAGCTTAATAGATAAGAGAGATCACCGAAAAGATCAAGAAGATTAAAGGCTAAAGTAGTTGAACTAAATACTAGTCTTAGCTTCTGCAAGTTGATTGATGAAGTTCCTAATTTATAATATTCTTAATAAACTCTCTTTTTGTTTTTAATAATATGGACTGCCAATATTTATATATATGTTATAATTTCATCTTAGTTCCTAATTTATAATATTGTTTTATATATCAGTGAATCATGTCAAACCTTGCAAAACTCGAATTTGTTGCTCTTGATATTACTGGAAACAATTATCTGTCTTGGGTGTTAGATGCTGAAATACACTTAGATGCAAAGGGACTTGGTGATACTTGTTTCGGGGTTTTCTGATGTCCTGCGGGAGAGTTACAATTCCGAGACTGGAACCGGACGCCTGTACCTGCAAAACAAACGGATGCTCCGGATGATTGGAGATCCGCCTCCGACGGTCAAGTTAGTACTTGATTAAGGAGTAATTAATGCGGAAATTAAAGTGATTGGGTCTCTCTAGGTGAGAGAATTTAATGTGTGTAATCTGCGTAATCTCCCTTAATGAGGATTAAGGGAGGTATTTATAACCTCGGGAAACGTGCCAATCTAGGTTTAGGTTAACCTTGGGCTGATTGGGCTTCCCACGGAAGTTGGGCCTAGGTGACCGGTTATCCCAGGTGTCATGGGAAGGACACGTGTCGTGTCGTAATTGGTCCATAGTGGACGGATCATTGCTTGACACGTGGCAGGCTCCTATTGGCCCATGTGACGGACACATGGCGGAACCTGATTGGTCCACTTGTCATATGGTGATTGGTGGGGAAAATCCCCTAATCATTTGCCCCTCATAGGTGGCACGTGACTGGTCACGTGTTACCTGTGACAGGTATCGCCCTGTAACAGGCGACGGCCTGCTACAGGTGTCACTCGGCGAGAGGCCGAGAGATTCTCCCGCCAAAATTTTGAATTCTGGAAGTGACCCTTCGCCTTCTCACTTCGCCTATATAAAGGAGTGTTGACTTCGGTCATTTTCACACTTGAAAACTTTGTGAGAGAACATTCGGACCCCTGAACTTGCTCTGACATTTTGGACCCTTTCTGCCTACCGCCTGCTCTGACAAGCCGACTGCAAAGGATTTTCAAAACTTCATCAATCGTCACTCGTTCAGGTAACCGTCGGTTCTCTTACTCTTAATTTTCTCTTTACTTTATTCTTTTTTGAAATGGCACCACGGAAGCACACGACACGACCTAGGTTAGTGATCAGCCGCTCACCGGGGACGACTGAATCTAGGACTAGGAGTGCCGCCTGCCCTTTTCTGGACCCATCTTTGCCCTTTATACAAAGTCCGACTGTATCTGTGTCTATGCAGAGCATGATGGCCAGAACAAAAAAGACTGCCAGGATCTCAAACTCAGACGGCTCCTCCCACAGGGTGCCGATTAGTGAAACATCTGACCAGGCGCCAGATGTGGAAGTGAAACAAAGCGGCTTGAAAGCCGGCAGTTCTGAGGGAGGAGTCAAAGTGACCCCTTCCCATTTTACAGTTGACAATTCTACATTCTCTCCTGCTCCTTTTAAAGGAGAGGAGGCGGGCCCCTCCGGGAGAGGGGAGGAGTCGTCCTCTTCGGACTCGTCAGAGGACGATTCCGAGTCTAGTTCTTCTGGCCATGCTTCTCTGGACACAGAAGAGAAAAACAGTCGCCTACAAGAGGCGAGGCTTTCTCACGCAGTTGAGAAGGGGGACGATTGGGCGGAGCCATCCGCCTCTCACCGAGAGCAAAATACCCCCTACTACTGCACGATACCTCGGGGCCGGATCACAGCCATGCAAGAGAAAGTGGAGAGCTTTATCGCAAACCACACAATGGGCCCCGGCTTTTTAGTGTTCGTGCCGGATCCAGAAGACACAGTCGTCTGGCCGGCTGGTACCAGTTATGATGGCGCCTGCTTTGGCTGCTACGAGGCGGCCATCAAGGCTGGGCTGCGCTTCCCACTACATCCGGCTGTTCAGCGGATCTTGGATGGGTATGAGTTGGGGTTATGGCAGTTAGCCCCGAACTCCTGGGTCAACGTACTCGGCTATGTGGCCGGGTGCGAACTGCACGGGGTGGAGCCGAACTTCGAGGCTTTCGCCCACATGAACTACCTCAGCCGGACCCCTAAGGCAGGCGGTACCGGCTGGTATCAATTGACGAGCCACAGGGGCTACCTCATGACGAGAGGTAAAGCAAACAAATGGAAGGACTGACGGAGCACCTTCCTTATCATTGAGAGTTCAGACACAGAGCTGAACAAGCGCTTCAACAGGTGGAACAGGAATCCTCCCCTTCTTGCAGGCGGCCGCAGCATGCCGCCTGTTCCCCCCAAGGCTAAGAAAGAGATCCTAGATAAAGGACTCTTCAAAGTAGAGTCGAAGGTGAACCCTACTTCAGGGGTACGAGAGCAAGTACCCCTGCACTGCGTCCCGAGCTTCAAATGGCTCTACGACGAGTACTTTTTGGCCGCCTGTGGCCTCAGCAGTCGGTGCTCAAGAGGTAGCCGGCCTGTCGAATACTCTGTTGTTCCATGCATTTCTTGTTATGACTTTTATTAACTTTGCCATTTGTTTTTGCAGCGGACGCCATGAGCAAAATTACCGCCTCCAAGACTGCGGCGGCCATGTTGCGGGCCTCCATCATGCAACAGTCTTCAACCGACTCCCCCAACAAGGGGGCACCCTTGGTGGGCTTCGAACCTTTCACCCTCTTTTTGGAGTTGTGTTTATGCATATACTGACTCTTTTCTTCTTTTTTAGACGGGCGCTCCAAGAGCTTCTTCTTCCCAACAGCCGGACCCCAAGGCCCGGAGGACGACTGTTGCGAGCTCTCCTGGTTCTGCCAGGAAACATGTGGCGGCTGAGAAACAGCCGGCCACTTCTTCTAAAACTCCAGCTGGGCCACCTAGAAGTATGAAATTATCCTTGTAAATTTTAGACTTGCTCCCTTCTTTACTAGGTCTAATCCGTTTGTTTATGCTTGATGCAGCCGGCCCTCAGGAGCCTGACTTGGTCGAGGTGGCCAAGTCTATGATCAAGGCCGTTCCTCCAGCTGAAAGGAAGGCGGTCAGGGGTGTCGGCACCCTTGACCTAGACGGGATTGCAGGGGTCCTTGCTGAGGTATACTTAGCATATTTTTGAGTATTTGAATTCCACGACGCCTGTTTTCTTTTTTGTTTGGAAACTGACGCCTGTTCCCCTTTTTACTTAGGCCCTGCTCCGAGTGAACGGCCTTCGCAAGCCGCTTGACCGGAAGAACAAAGAGGTAAAGGCTGCAAAAGCTATGGCCGCCTCTGACTGTGATAAGGCAATGTTTCAAATTGCCCAAAATGAAGTTATGACCATTGATATTCTTTATTATCAGGCGCAGGCTACCGCCGCTATCCGGGCTCAGTTAGAGGCGGCCCAGAAGAGGAATAGCGAGCTGGAGGCGACCATCAACAACCTCAAGGCCGAGCTGAGACCTCTTCGCCAAAAGATGTCCTCATACGAAACCTTGGAGAAATCCTTGGCGAGCGTAAAGGTACGCCTGGTGACCCAGGAGAAGAGTCTTACTCAGGAGCTCTCGGAAAAGGCCGAGCAAGAAAAGAAAGAGCTGGTCCGGGAGATGATGGAAGACTCTGCTCAAATCCAGCGCATGACTTGGGGCCGCCTCTTCCCCAATGCCGACTTTGCCTCATGGGAAAAAACGTACCGCCAGTGTTCTGATAGATATAATCAAGAGATCCTGGCGGCTGCTGAGGAAGAGG